AGTCCTGACTTAAGCGGAGCTTGTCTTGGGAGGTCGGGACAAGTTCCCAGATTATAGTCTCCTCACTCAAAACGGCTAACAGGACAACGGCTAACAGGACACCTTGGCTAATAGGCAGCACTTGGTGTGGGTTCAATGCTCCCCTGCTGTGCGAGTCCTGACTTAAGCGGAGCTTGTCTTGGGAGGTCGGGGCAAGTTCCCAGGTTATAGTCCCCTCACTCGGAACGGCTAACAGGACACCTTGGCTAACAGGACACCCGGAACGGCTAACAGGACACCGGCTAACAGGACACCTTGGTGATAAGGGGCGCTGCCTTGGACCTACGGGATGGTAGGGAGGATTTTCTTGTAACAAAAAAAAAAAATGACTTCAAGATAAATTATTAGCCCTCAACAGTGCTATACCTGTTTTGCAAAATATTTATCTTCCGAAGGTGCTTTTTACACAAAGAAAGCTATAGAAAAAAATTCAGAGGGTTATATCCTCTCATAAACTATCCCCACCATATTGGCAACTAGCAGTGGACTAATGTGTTAGGTTGGTACTCCATCACTGGTAGGTCCTCAACTTGATTCTCTCCCATATGAGTTAGAATGTTTGCACATCTATTGCCTTCACGAAAGACATGTCGAGAGTGCAGCCTGTTCTTTCATGGAAGAATTTGGCTATTTTGAATGGGCAATTTTGAAAAGTTTATTTAGACGAACTCGATTGCTTCACTACAGTTGTATTGTATTATCATTGTTATTAATCAATTTTGTAAACTTTACTTTCTTTGGTTCTTATTCAAAATTGGAACCAACTTAAGTTACGTTAAAGAAAATTGTACAATAGTCTCTTAAATACTACGTGGTTATATTTTCTTATCAATAGCTATTCATTATATCTCCTCATGTTCTTCAATTGTTTAATACAAATAATCAATACTCTTTTTTTCACCAATTATACTATCACCATGTAGTCATATTCTCAAACTATTGAATAGTCTCCTTTCATTTAGTTAATCTCATGGACACTCCTATTTAAGTAGTTAGGATTTAATTCTTGCCTGAGGTAAAATTTGTTGCTTATTATGAGAATTATATTGAATTGTTTATTTCTACTTATTAATGGGCCATTCTTAGTGATTGTTGGGTTTGTAAAATGACCATTTCAACGTTTGCGGAATGACTCACATTCAGATTCTATTCTACTAGTATATCACCCGTGTGTTATGCCAGGGACAAAAATAATATATTATTTAATAAAAATATGGTAATTATATTTAATTTTTTTATATTTTATAAAATAAAAGTTAAATGAAAGCTAATTATTCGAGATTTTTTTAATTGTTTAAAGTTAAAAAAATTAAAAAAAATTAGTATGAGATATTGATCATAATGTTTCTCACTAAAAATCTTATTTTGCTTATATATATGGAGGTATAAGATTCACTTTATGTAAGTGAAACAATTCATTTTTTTCATTCTTTTCTCGATGTGAGATTATAAAGTAAAAGTTAAATAAAAATTAACCAATGAAGATTTTCTTAATTGTTTAAAAGTTAACAATTGTTTGGGCGAGAAATTTATTTTGAATCAAGAAATCTTAGCCGTTTAATCTTTAATTAGGTCCATATTTAATTTATTTTGATAAAACCATTAAAATCGTAGTTAAACCAGCGAATCAGTCAAACCGAAAACGGTTCACCCTATCGGCTAGGTCAAAGGACCAACCAATTTATACAAAAATTAATTAATTAAAATTTTTAAATTTTATTTTAATTTTAAAATTTAAACTGTCTTGAACTGAAACATACACAACACTATAATATTAAATTGTGGCATAAGGTTTTTATAGTAAAACAACTCATTTTTTTCTCATTTTTTTGATGTGAGATTGTAAAATAAAAGTTAGCAGTTGTTTAGATGGGAAGTTCATTTCTAATCAACAAAACTCAGTCGTTCAATTTTTAATAAGGTCAATCTTAGTTTATTTCAAATCAAATAAATCTAAGCAATATATTTTGATAAAACAGCTAAAATTGTGGTTAAACCAGTAAATCAGTCAAATAAAAAACGATTCAGCCTAATCGGCTAAGTCAAAAGACTAACCAATTTACAACAAAATTAATTAATTAAAACATTTAAATTTTATTTTAAAATTTAAACCATCTTGAACTGAAACATGTACAATACTATAATATTAAATGAGAGTATAAGATTCATTTATATAAGTGAAACAACTCACTTTTTATTTTTTTTCTCGATGTGAGATTATAATTATTTTAAAGTTAAATATTATGAGAGTTTCAAAATCTCATACAAAATTATTTTTAAAATCAAAACGTCTATGTGAGATTGTAAAATAAAAGTTAAATAGAAAATAACCAATGACGATTTTCTTAATTGTTTAAAATTAAGAAAAAAAAATAGTATTGATTATAAGGTTTCTCACTAAAAATCTTATTTTGCTTATATAAATAAGAACATAAGATTCACTTTATATAAGTAAAACAATTCTTTTTTTTTTTCCTGATGTGGAATTGTAAAATAAAAATTAAATGGAAACCAACTAATGTGGATTTTCTTAATTGTTTAAAATTAAGAAATTTTAATAATTTATGTAAATTGGAACATAAGATTCACTTTATGTAAATGAAATAATTCACTTTTTCTTTTCTTTTTTTTCCCGATTTGGGATTGTAAAATAAAAAGTAAATGGAAGTTAGTCAATGAGAATTTTCTTAATTGTTTAAAATTAATAAAATTCAATAATTTTAAAATGAAAGTTTGGTGCTTCTAAAAGGCTTGTCCTTTAAAACAATCTTTATAAAATTCATTTTATATAAGTGAAACAGCTCGTTTTTTTTTTTCTTTTCCCGATGTGGAACTGTAACACTTTATATAAGTGAAGTAACTCACTTTTTCTTTTTTTTTTCTTGACGTGGGATTGTAATTATTTTTAAGTTAAATATTATGAGAGTTTTAAAATCTTATACAAAATTATTTTTAAAATCAAAGCTACGTGGGATTGTAAAATAAAAGTTAAATGGAAGCTAGCCAATATGGATTTTCTTAATTGTTTAAAATTAAGAAAATCAAAAAAATGAGAATGAGTGTGAGATATGGATCATAGGATTTCTCACTAAAAATCTTCTTTTGCTTATGTAAATAGGAGCATAAGATTCACTTTATGTAAGTGAAACAATTTACTTCTTTTTTTTTTCGATGTAGAATCATAAAATAAAATATAAATGGAAGCGAGCCAATGAGAATTTTCTTAATTTTAAACAATTAAGAAAATTCATTAATTTTAGAATAAGGATTTGGAGTTCCTAGAAGGCTTCTCCCTAAAAACCACATTTTCCTTATGTAATATATAAATAAATAGTGAAACAAACTTTTTTTTTTTTTCTTCTCCCGATGTGGGATTATAAAATAAATCATAAACTAATTAGAGTTTTATTTTTATATAGTTAAATGAAAGTTAGTTAATGAAAATTCTTTTAATTGTTTAAAATTAATAAAATCAATATGAGAAATTATGATTAAACCAGTGAATCGGTCAAACCCAAAATGATTTAGCCTAATCGGTTAGGTCAAATGACCAATCAATTTATATAAAAATTAATTAATTAAAATTTTTAAATGTTATTTTAATTTTAAAATTTAAACTGTATTAAATTGAAATATACACAATAATACACTATTAAGATTCACTTTATATAAGTGAAACAACTTATTTTTTTTTCTTTTTCTGATGTAGGATTATAAAATAAAAGTTAATAATCATTTGGACAGAAAGTTTATTTCTAATAAAGCAATTTCAGTTTTTCAATCTTTAATCAGATCAATCTTTAGTTTATTTCGAATCAAACAAATCTAATCAATATATTTTGCTAAAACCACTAAAATCGTAGTTAAACCAACAAATCAATCAAATCAAAAATGATTTAGCTTAATCGGTTAGGTCATAATTAATTAATTAAAACTTTTAAAATTTAAACTATATTGAATTGAAATATGCATAACATTATAATATTAAATGGGATAGAGAACAAGTTTCACTTTATATCAGTAAAATAACTCATTTTTTCTCTTTCTTTTCCGATGTGAGATTATCAAATAAAAACTAGCTAATGGAGATTTTCTTAATTGTTTAAAATTAAAAAAATCAAAAAAATTAGTATGAGATATTGAAACCCTCATAAGACTTCTCACTAAATGGGTGGGAGTATAAGATTCCTTTTATATGAGTAAAACAACTCATTTTTTTCTTCTTTTCTCATGTGAGATTATCAAATAAAAGTTAGCTAATGAAGATTTTCTTAATTATTTTATTAATTATTTAAAATTAAGAAAATCAAGAAAAATAATATGAGATCACCAAATGAGATGGGAGTATAAGATTCCCTTTATATGAGTAAAACAACTCTTTTTTTTTTCTTTTTTCAATGTGAAATTATCAAATAAAAGTTAATCAATGATTTTTTTAAAATTATTTAAAATTAAATAAATCAAAAAAATTAAGATAAAATTTTGGAGTTTTCACACACCCTGGAGACCCATTTTCCTTATATAGAAGTTTCATGGTGAACTCCACATGACAATTTAAAAAATAGAAAAAATTACTGTTCAGTTGGAGAAAAAAAAGGGTAAATTACATTGACACGTTCTGAGATTTATATTTATTACAGTTTTTCTCTCACCTTTTGAAAATCACATCCCCTTCTTGAGATTTAAAGTTTCATTACAGATTGTCCCTGAGGTTTAAAGTTTCATAACAGTTTCCCCATACACCGTAATGATCATCATAAATAAAATTAAATTAACAAGGGGTCAATATAATTTTTCAAATGTAAGAAGTGAACTATAATAAATATAAAAGGAGGTGGATTATAATAAATATAAACCTTAGGGTATCAGTCTAATTTACCCGAGAAAAAAACATCACAAACATGCAACTTTTTAACTTGTATCTTTTGCAATTTTTTTTTTTGGTTCCACTGTTGCTGTGATTCCTCTAAAGAAATAAATTTTATCAAACATCCACTTTCACATGAAATCATATTTTATTTTTTAAAACAAATTACAATTATGAATTTAAAGTTAAACCCAAAATAAACTGTGGTATCTGCTCTCCATCTGTGTTGTATGTGAAGTGAAGCTCACTCTCTTCTGTCAATCTCTCTCGCCTGATCGTTGTTGTTTTTCAAGTCACTGAAAGCTCAATAATCTCCATGAATTCTAGCTTTATACATATGGTACGCTTCTTTTGATCTTCCTCTGTGTAGATCAAGCTTGAAAAGAAAGCTTAATTTACTTTCTGTTTGATAGATATCCAGTTCAATTTTTTGCTCTGTTTGTTGCTTTCTGTATTGTAATTTCATCTTTTATTGCTTCTTGATTTTTATCAATTAATCAAAAACCCAAACCCTAAAAGAGGAAAGGAAACGAAAAAAAAAAAGTGTGAAATGGCTGTGGAAAATTCTTCTGTTTGGGGAAATTTTGATAGAGTAAAAAATTCCTTCCGTCCACCATTCGGATTTATGAAGTTCAAGTCACGAATTTCCACTCTGAAAGAGGTAATTGAGACACTAAAAAATGATGAGATCAACATCATTGGAATATGTGGAATGAGCGGCGTTGGAAAAACAACAATGGTGAAACAAGTTGCCGTGAAAGCCCAAAAAGAAAATCTATTCGATGAGATTGTTATGGTAGTGTTAGGGTCCTTGAGTACAAGCTTGAGTGACATTCAATGCCAAATAGCAGACCAATTGGGTTTGAAATTGGAGGGAGAGACTTTAATTCAAAGAGCAGCTTGTCTGCGTCGGAGACTAGCAAATGGTAAGAGAATCCTTCTTGCACTTGATGCAGTTTCAGAAGAGCCCGTCGATGAGGTTTTGGAAGAGCTTGTCTTTGATCAGGGGTTTGATCTTGAGGCCATAGGGATTCCGATTCGGGGCGAAAATAGGGGTTGCAAAGTTGTGCTGACATCAGAAGACGATGTTATTTGCAGTCAAATGGGAGCCCAAAAGAAAATCCAAGTAAAACCCTTGACAAAAGAAGAAGCATGGCATCTTTTTAAGGAGATGGCTGGTGATTCTGTTGATGCTCCTGACATCCGATCAATAGCTGAGCAAGTGGTAACTGAATGCCTAGGTTTTCTACTTGCACTCAGAGCTATTGGAAGAGTGCTAAAAAATAAATCCAATTTTGTATGGACTCATGCACTCAAACGATTAAGAGATGATCAAGAACCAAGAATTCGATCTCTTTGTACACTGACAAGAGGAACGGCTGCATGGAAAGAAGAAACGGCTGCATGGACAGAAGAAACGGCTGCATGGAAAGAAGAAACTGCTCGTCCACATCTTCGTTTAAGTTATGATAGTTTAGACGAGGAAGCGAAGTCCTTGTTTTTGCTATGCTGTTTATATCCGGCGTGTCGTGATATTCATATTGAAGAATTGGTTAGATGTGGAATGGGGCTACGTATATTCAAAGATATCAATGGATTGGAAGAAGCAAGAAATCGAGTACGATTGTTGGTTGATTGGTTAAAAAGCTATTGTTTGTTATTAGATGGTGACAAGGATGAGAATGAGAGCATCAAAATGCATGATTTAGCGCGTGAGGTTGGCAGAACTGGTAATAATGCTTTTTGTATACTGCATGGATATAGTGCGTGGCCGACATACATTACTTATGAAGGTTACACTTCCATTTCAATGATATCGGATAAAATTACAAAGCTACCAGAATCATTAAGATGCCCAAAACTCAGGACGTTACTGTTAGCATGCATGAATAATTCACTAAAAACACCAAACTGTTTTTTTGAGGGTATGAGAACATTGCAAGTTCTATATTTGGAGCTCTCCATTGCGTTGCTGCCGTCATCACTTCAGTTTCTGAGGAACCTGCATTCTTTGACTTTGAATCTTCCAAATTACGAGTTGGAAAACATAACTGCAATAGGAGAGCTATTGAATCTGGAAATCCTCAGCTTTTGTGCTCCCTCTGTCAAGGTGTTACCAGAAGAAATAGGAAGACTTGCTAATTTGACGTTGTTAGATCTAACAGGATGTCATCGTCTTGAAAGAATATCACCGGGTGTCATTTCTGGCCTAGTCCGATTACAAGAACTGTACATGATGGGCAGCTTTAGCAATTGGGAAGCTGACAAAGGAGAAAGCAAAGAAGGAAGAAGAAATGCAAGCTTGAGAGAGCTACAGTCCTTGTCCGATTTGAAAATATTAGAGATTTATATACCCGATGCAGCGTTATTGCCAAGAAACCCTCTCTTTGCAGATCTGACAAAATACAAGATACGGATAGGTGATAATGGCTGGTGGAGCGTGTTCCCATTCCAAAAGCATTTGTTATTGAAACTCGACAAGAGTATTGCTTTACATGGTGGGGTTAGTAAGCTATTGAAGTGTACTGAACTTCTAAGTTTAAGAGGGAAGGGCTCAAGGAATGTGGTGCATGAGTTAGTTCAAGATGGCATCCAGCACTTGAAGTACTTATCAATTGAGTCTTGTGATATGCTTTTTTGTCTTGTTGATACAACGGATTTATCACTTGATTCCAGTGCTGCTATTTTCCCTATCTTGGAGTCATTAAAGCTTGATGATTTGCGTAGGTTAAAAGAGATATGCCACGGTCAACTTCCAGAAGGGTCCTTTGGGAAACTAAGAACATTGATATTACAACTCTTACCTTCTTTGATGCATTTCTTGGTGGAGGATCCAGCTCAAACTACTGTCTCCCTCCATAATCTGAGATCTGTTGAGTTAGATCGCTGTAATGGCTTGCGAAATCTCTTTTCATTGTCAATGGCACAAGGGCTTGTGCAACTTCAAGAACTTCGCATATCGCATTGTGAAATGATGAAAGAAGTTATTTGGGAAGGAAGAGGAGAAGATGGGCATGCAACCAACAAGATTGAATTCCCTCGTTTAGAATACATGGCACTTATACAACTAGAAGGCCTCACTGGTTTCAGCAGAGGAATTGACAAGATTGAGTTCCCTCAACTGAAGAAATTGCACATCAAATGTCTACCAAAGATCATGAGTTTCTTTCCCATTGAGAGTACACTACATTGAGATGAAAACTGCAATGCTACCTTGCAATCTATTTTCCCCCAACAGGTAATGTTTATATGTTTTTTATATATTTGTTTGTTCTAAAAAACAAGAAAGTAATCATTAAGTTCTTAGGAGAACAAATATCTACATCTATGATGCATATATATCTCGTTTACTTGTCCCAAGATTTTGATTGATCTTATTCCACTTCCCAGTAGTACAATAATAAAGGTTTCTCGTGTCAAGTAGCAAGAGGAAGAAACTATGTTTATAGCCAAACTTAAGCAAAGTTAGTATTTCTATAGCTGTTGAACAATGTGAATTATAGAAAGTGTTTTTCAAAGACGAAAATGTTAAAAGATATGTTCTCTTTAGAATTTTAAAATTTTCAATATTATGGATGAAAAGTTTAATCATTGTTACAAAATTATGTTAATAGCATCATAATTTAGAAGTATAAAATGTTTCAAAACTTCCAGTATATAAGATGTACTCAATTATTTTGAACTCTTGCATCAAATAATTTTAAAGTAAATTATGGGGTTTCCAGATTGAAGCCGATGTTAATCCTATTTTCAATGCCATCTTAGTGAGTAAAAGGGTTTTCATTACAAAGCAACTATCTTCTAGTGCAAGATTTTTGTTGAATGAGAAGCTGACGATTGGGGTTTGGAACAAGATTAAACCTTTAACCATGCAGATGTGTGTTCGCTGTCAGCCCCAATCAACCCGGTTTGACTTGACTAAGTTCTGTGTTTTGTTTTCTCTAGGTTGAAAATTTTCTGTTGAAGTAAATGGCGTAGTTAAAAATGCCTTGGCAGGGGCAAACATAATCTAGGAATTAAACTTACCAATTTATTAGTATTTTACACTAGTTTGGGTTACTAAAGATTTCCTGTTCATAAATTAAGAACCAGAAGAAAAACTGAAATTTATAAAAATAGTGATACCTTTTTTATGTTCTTCTTTTTCAATTTTTTGCTTTCAATCTGTTCTAAACATATATAATAGTTGTTGGGACAACTATAGCCTTTCTTTTCTTTTCTAAACATACCTTTTCCCTTGTCAATAAGAGTTTTGTACAATGCAACATAAGAAATAATAATGTCAAGTAGATGCAGTGATAAATAATTGCCCTATCCAATATTTAGATTGTTAACTGTATTAATCTTTAACAATTGGGTGCCATGTGGAATTGTAATGTTATGTTTGTGGAGACAACAATTATTACCTCTATGGAATGTTCTTGTGTAAAAATATAGTTTTGGGCCTTCCTGGATAATCTAGAAATTGTTGCAGCTGATTGTTAAGGGTCCACAGAATCCAAGGCCAGTGAATTTTATATTAAAATGACAACCTTTCTTCAAGGAAAGGTAATAAAAGAAGTTGAGTGCTAATAAGTCTAGAGTTACAAGTTCTGTTCTCCTTCTTGTGATTCTTTTTAACAATACAGAACACTTTTAACTATCTGCTTGTAAATACAATTATTTTTTTTGCAGGTTGCATTTCCCAGCTTGGAGAAATTGGAACTTGTTGGATTGCTAAATGCGAGTGACTTGTGGGCCAGTGAACTTTCAACCGAATCATTCTGTAAACTTAGATCCCTCAAGGTGGAAGACTGTCATGGATTAGTGAAAAATGTTGTTCCAGTCAATATAATAAAAATGTCACCCAGTCTGGAAAAAGTAAAAATATATAACTGTGATTTGGTGGAAGATGTATTCGGATTTGGAGGCCACCAAGAAATTCCTGTTGCAAACATAAGAAGGTTGATTGTTAGATGTTGTGGCAGCTTGAGAAATCTGTTCTCTCCTTCCATTGTTAGAGGTCTTGTGCATCTCCAAGAACTAACAATAGATGGTTGCTCAATGATGGAAGAAGTTATTTGGGAAGGAAGAGGAGAAGATGGGCATGTAACCAACAAGATTGAATTCCCCCGTTTAGAATACATTTCACTTACAGAACTAGAAGTCCTCACTGGTTTCAGCAGAGGAATTGACAAGATTGAGTTCCCTCAACTGAAGAAATTGCACATCAAATATCTACCAAAGGGCAAGAGTTTCTTTCCCGGTGAGAGTATACTACATTCAGATGAAAACCGCAATGCTACCTTGCTATCAATTTTCCCCCAACAGGTATATTCACATATATATATATTCAAAAACAAGAAACTAATCATTAAGTTCTTAGGAGAACAAATATCTACATCTATGATGCATCAGTCTCTTGGTTACTTGTCTCAAGATTTTGGTTGATCTTATTCAACATCCCAATAAGTTTCTTATGTCAAGTAGCAAGAGGAAAAAATGTCGTTTATAACCAAACTTCCCGTCTAGTGCTATGCAAAGTTAGTATTTCAGTGACAGTTGGACGATGTGAATTGCGATGCACAGGATAGTATCATAGAAAGTGGTTTTTAAAGATGAAAATGTTAAAACATATGTAGTAGAAGAATCTCTTTAGAATTTAAAATTTTCAATTTTATGAAAGAATAGTTACAAAATTGTTAATAGCATCATAATTCAGAGTAGTATAAATGTTTCGAAACTCCCAGTGTATAGATGTACTTAATCATATGAATCTTGGCATGATAAAATGATTTTAAATTAAATTATGGGATTTCCAGATTGAAGCTGAGTAGGGATGGCAATGAGGAACCTACCCTACGGGTACCCATGGAGACCTGACCCAAATATATGGATTTTTCCCTTTTTTCTTACCCATTGGGTAGGTTAAGTGGTGTTTTCTAAATATTCATAGGGTATGGGTCGGGGATGGGTACCCGCCCATTTCCCCCATACATAAACGTGTCTTCACATTGTATGTCATGTTCATGGATGGACTTATCAGCAACCAGAAGGACGTGGAGGTACTTCTTCAATCTGGGGTTTTTAGAGTCCGAGTCAATGACGTTAGTGGATTGGTCTCTCTTTAAAAGTCTCTCTACAAATGTGATTACCAATCCAGAGGACTTTCACTTTGCAAATCAACTTCAAAAAATGAATGCATATTGTGATACTGGCTCTTATAACACTTTCTTCAAACAGGTGGTGTGCAATAAAGTAGTACGCATAGAAATGGAAGAAAGAATGTAACATTGTAGGAGAGAGAGAGAGATGGTTGTAATTAATTAATTTATTTTTAATCTTCCACTTTCTTTCACATTTTTTTTTTCAATTACTAAAAACTTATTTGATTGTCTCAAAATTATATATTTGATTATTTTAAAACAAACTTTTTAATTAATTAATTAATGTATATTTGATTTTTTTGTTGAGCCAAATAAAATAAAATAAAATAAGATTGAATGTATATTTAGCTTTGGTTGTGAACTTTTTAAAAAAAAAGGAAAAAAAAGAGGGTCAAGTTGGGTTGGGGAAAATCAAAACCCTTTAGGAGATGGGGAGGGTATTACCCATGGGGAATGAGGAATGGGGATGGGGAATTAATATCCACCCCATTAACCCCTATTGCCATCTCTAAAGCTGAGTGCTAATCTAATCATATTGCCATGCCATTTCAGATGTGGAGAAACTAAGTCAATTCTAAAAGTTTGACAAACAGGCCCTTATATGGGAGGGGAGGGGTTGGGGGTCTTCCTATTGCTGCCGTCCACCTTGGTGACCAAAAATGTTTCCATTACAAAGTGACTCTCTTCTAGTTCGAGTTTTTAGGTGAATGAGAAGGAGATGTGGTTGGGGACCAGAACAGGATTAAGCCTTTAAGATGAGTGTTTGTTGTCAGCCCCAACCAGCCCAGTTCTACTTGAATAACCCTGTTTTTGTTCTATACTGGTTGAAAATCTTCAGTTGAAAGGCATAGTTGAGAATGCCTAAATCTAGGAATTAAACATGCCACTAGTTTGGGTTATTAAAGATTTCCGGCTCATAAATTAAGAATAAGCAGAAAAACATAAATTTACAAAAATAGTGATATCTTTATTATGATTTTCTTTTTCAAATTTTTGTTTTCAATCCATTATAAAAGTATATAAAAATTGCTGGGACGACTATAGCTTTTTCCTTGTCAATAAGAAAGTCTTGTACATTGTACAACATAAGATACAATAATGTCAAGTGTTTGCAGTGATAAATCATTGCCGAATCCAATTTTAAATTGTTAAATGTGTTGATGTTTAACAATTGGAGGCCATGTTCTTGTGTAAAAATATAGCTCTGACAAGTGGTACCTTCCTCTCTTCTGATTAAATTAGACAGTGGGGTCTATCATATTTATGTTGGTGTTTGGGAGATAACATGGAGCATAATCATTTGTGATTGGTTGGAGGGTACCACATGACATTGCCACTTGTACTCTGTTGGTATATAATTTTTTTTTTTTAGTTTTGGGCCTTCCAGGATAACCTAAAAATTGTTGCACCTTGTTGCTTAGGGTCCTCACAATCCAAGGCCAAAAAATTTTCTATTAAAATGACAATCTTCATAACCTCATGCAACCTTACTTGATGGAAAGGCAATTGTAGAAGTTGAGTGCTAATTATAAGACGAGTTACAAGTTCTGTTTTTCTTTTTCTGTTTGTTTTTAACATTACATAATACTTTCAACGGTATTCTTGTCAATACAATCATTTTGTTTGCAGGTTGTATTTCCTCGCTTGGAAGAATTAGAACTTGTTGATTTGCCAAATGCAAGTGACTTATGGTGCAGTGAACTTTCAACAGGATCATTCTGTAAACTAAGATCTCTCATGGTGAAAGACTGTCACAGATTGGTAAGAAATGTTGTTCCTGCTCATATATTGAAAGTGCCACCGAATCTAGAAAAAGTGGAAATATATAACTGTGATTCGGTGGAAGAGGTATTCAGATTAGGAGGCCACCAAGGAAATCCCCTTGAAAACATAAGAACCCTAATTGTTAGATGTTGTGGCAGCTTGAGAAATATGTTCTCTCCTTCCGTTGCTGGATGTTTTGTGCATCTTCAAGAACTTATAATACATGATTGCTCAGCAATGGAAGCAGTGGTTGCAAATGAGGATGAGGAACAAATGGGTGGAGATAGGATTTACGTTACTCTGTTTGCTCAATTGAAGCATTTGGAACTCAGAGATCTACCTTCACTCGGGAAGTTTTGCCATGCTATTCATGACTGGGAAATGCCATCTTTACATCACTTGGAAGCCGTTAATTGCCCTGAAATGCAGACTTTCTCTCCTGGATTCGTGCATGCCCCAAATCTATATCATGTAGAAGTGGAAGCAAAATGGATCCGGATAAAAAGAGATCTCAATAAGACCATTCAACACTTTTTTGAGAAGGTATGTCCGTTCCCGCTGTTGATAAATACTTCATTTTCTCTTCCATTAAGCATATTTTTATGTAATCTTAATTAGAAAAACTTGAGCCATATTTTGCTGAATTTGATGATTGGCACTCGCAACATCATGACCCTTTTCCCCAATAGACCAACAATTTTATGAATGGAACAAAATAAAAGAATATTTTCATGGTGAATTTTCCACTACTACCAACATGTGTAGAGGGCCAAACCACACACACTGAAGTTTTTGGAGATTGATCTCCAGACAACTCTTGTTATTCCATCAATTTTGAAACTTATTACGATTTTTAATGCAATAAAATTCATGGCTTCCATAAACGGAGATTCCGTATCAAGTTATATTTTGGTGCAATTTGAAAAAATCTCATGGTAAAACTGCCATGTTCATATTTTCTAAAGCCAAATCCTTGAGAAAGTTGTCATCATTGAATAGACTACTTAACAAATGGAGCGTTAATTAAACCTGCCAAAAAAACAGGAAAGGAAAAAAAGAAATTGTTGAAACACTGCTAAAAAAATATACTCTTTACTTTTTTCCTCAACTGTTGAAAATATAAATGTTTGTTAACTTAAATCACTTTTATAAAATAGTAAAGTTGTAGACCATGATAGCTGATCTATTATTTTCATGTATGTTTATATTTCTTCCATTACTTACATTTTCACATATTTGTTTATCAATCAAAAGCTTATCTATGAGCATTCCTCTATTTGCATGACAGCAAGAAGAAGAAGAAGAAGAAGATTTTTTTTGAGGATTCAAACACAATCTATATATCTAGCCTACAATTTCAACTGGACTTCTTGCTTCAGAAAGAAGTAGAGGAAGAAAGAGAAGATGAACGGTAAGAAGATAAGAATCAATAAGAATGAGGACAATAAAGAAGAAAAGCAAGTAGTAGATTTCAATTGTATTATCTGCTTTCTAGTTTCCTAAAACTTTTCTATCAATAGCTTTTATGCAAACACTTTTTTTCTTTTCTGTTTTTTTTTTTTTTTTTTTGTTTCAGAAAGAGGAGAGAAAGAAGAGACTTTTTTTTTTTTTTTTTTTTTTTTTTTTTTTTTGTTTCAGAAAGAGTAGAGAAAGAAGAGAAACAACAAAGAAGATAAGAAAGAGAAGAGGAAAAGAAGGTAACAATGAGGACAACAATGATGATGGTGATCCACAACAGCGATGATGTGAATGATTACAATAAAGATGACAATTGATGACACTGAAAGTCTGATGACCGAAGTGGCATTAACATTTGATGGTGTGGTTGTGAAACTCTAATTATTTTGGGAGAGATTGTGTATGTAAAATTTCCCCTTTCTAGTTTATTTCCTAGCAAGAGC